CAATATATTAGCCAATATTGTTAGACTAATATATATATATATATATATATGATTAATATATATTGTAAAAAAATAAATGTTATTTATTTAATTTATAATTAATAGTTACCAATATAAATATTTATAATAATTTAAAATGCTTTACTAAGCTACTTATTTATTTTTTAAAAAATGATTAATTAAAATATCGATTAGATATTAATTAAATAGTATATATATATATATATAATCAGTAAATATGCTTGCTAATCAAATGTGATTTTTAATTAATTAATTAATTAATAAAATTTAATTTAAATAAAACATTAAATAAAAATTTTGAAAAAAAACATTTATACTATTTTAATTTAATAATAAATCAAAAAACAAACAAAAATAATAACACCATAATAACTTATCACTATTTGTAATCAATAACTTGTTATACTATCATATATATATATACATAACATAAAAATTATACAGTATATATATATATATATAAAAAATAATTATGACATATGATATTTTTTTCATAATAATAAATATATTGAATCACATGTTTTAATTCAAAATATAAATATATATATCAAATTGATATTAAAGTTATAAATATTTTTTTTCAAATACAGGAAAATTATAATATATATATTATCAAAAAAAATATATTAGTTTTTATCAATAAACTGATAAAGTTTTTTTTAAAAATGTTAAATGCTAATTAATTTTAAAAATAAATAAATACTTAAAAATAAATTTAATTAATTAATTTTGAAATTCACAGTTGATTTTGTGTTAATCATAAACTAGTGATTTAAATGTTTAAAAAAAATATTATAGAAAATAGTGTAAAATAATTATTATAATTATTTATAATTTCAAACTTTCAATGTGTGTATGTGTTTAATGAACTTTCATCTAATAAAACATATTTAACAACAAATTAATATAAACACTATATATATATATATATATATATATATATATTACTACTACTACTACTGTAATGTATAAAAATTAATAACTATATATTAATAATGAAACAAAAATTTATTATATACATATACAGTATATATATTGAAACTAAAATATCCAATTTCCTCAACAAAAATAAAAATGTTGCTTGAGGAAATTCCTGTTTAACTTGGTCAATTATTTTCAATAATAATAATAATAATAATAATAATAATAATAATAATAATAATAATAATAATAATAATAATAATAATAATAATAATAATAATAATAATAATAATAATAATAATAATAATAATAATAATAATAATAATAATAATAATAATAATAATAATAATAATAATAATAATAATAATAATAATAATAATAATAATAATAATAATAATAATAATAATAATAATAATAATAATAATAATAATAATAATAATAATAATAATAATAATAATAATAATAATAATAATAATAATAATAATAATAATAATAATAATAATAATAATAATAATAATAATAATAATAATAATAATAATAATAATAATAATAATAATAATAATAATAATAATAATAATAATAATAATAATAATAATAATAATAATAATAATACACTATTGGGTACAGTAGACTATTAAGTATAGTTTAATCCCCCCCTGATTAAAATACAGTATATATATATATACAGTAAAATAGTACAGTACTAATCTAATGTATTATTATTATTATTATTATTATTAAAATTAAAAACTTTTATTTTTACATTAGACTTGTATAGAGCACTGGTATGTACAGTATATGTGCCGTATATGTGATTGTCATAGTATATACACATTTGGATATATATGATATAAATGTAATAAATTATATTTTATTGTAAAAATGTTGGGTATATGAAATTTAATACTATAATTGGATCTACTGTACTATACATAGTGATAATTTAAAACATTAATAATAATAATAATAATAATAATAATATTGAATATATTTTAACAAACATTTAGAGAGAGAGAGAGAGAGAAAGAGAGACGAAAAAAATTGTTTTATATATGTTTTAATAATAATAATATTTTCATTATCTGTTTATATATTAAATATATATATATATATATATATATACTACTAATATTATGTAATCATGACGCATTTTATAATACTAAAAAGTAACTATGTTTTTGTATGACCCAACGTGTTATTTACAAATCGTTTTGTTGACATTTTGATACATCCATTACTAGTCTTTATTTGTGTTATAAAACATTTGTGATAATTCTTCTTATGGATCTGTTACACGGCTTAACATCACACGACCTCCGAGTCAGATATGCCATGGAATACGAATATCGTCGTGGAACAAACGCAACGATGGCGGCCAAAAATATTAATGAGGTTTATCCTGAAGCCATAAGTGTGATTGCCAGATAAAAGATGGTCGGAAGAAGGCGTGGATGTGGAGGACAAAGAAAGATCTGGACAGCCGACAAAAGTAAACGACGATGAATTGAAGGAATTAGTTGAGATGAACCCAAAGTTTTCGTGTCATAACATGGCAGAAATGTTGGGCGTTAGTTACTCAACAATAAGAAATCATTTGATCGCTATGGGCAAAAGATATGTCGCATCAAAATGGGTACCTCATAATCTCACTGAACAGCAAAAAGCTAACCGCTTAAAGACATGTCAAGAGTTGCTTTTACGTCAAAATTCTGAAGGATTCATTAGATGGATGGTAACCGGGGATGAAAAGTTGATTTACTATGTCAATGCTAATAAAAGTTATGAATGGAGAAGTACTGGTCAACGACCGGTTGGAACGCCACGGCCAGATTTTCGGCAACAAAAAGTCATGTTATCAGTTTGGTGGGATAAAGACGGAATTATTCACTGGGAATTGTTAGAGGTTGGTGCCACTATTTCAGCGGAAGTTTATTGTCAACAATTGACAAGACTTCGGGAAAAACTCAAAGAAAAACGCAAATCTATGGTTGGACATTGGGGTGTAAAGTTCCACCAGGACAACGCCCCATCACACACCGCAAAAGTGACCAAAGATTTGCTGAAAGAGTTTGGCTGGAATATCATTGATCACCCACCATATTCTCCAGATATTGCCCCTTCGGATTACCATTTGTTCCGATCAATGCAACACTTCCTTGATGGCAAAAAATTCAAAAATCGGGAAGAGGTCAAAATGGCAGTCGAAGAGTTTTTCGCCTCCCAATCAAAAGAGTGGTATGCCGAAGGCATTAATAAATTGCCAAACAAATGGAGAGAAGTGATTGACTTGGATGGCGATTATATAATTAATTAAATAAAATTAACTTTTTTATAAAATGAAATTAAATTTTTGTTATAAATACGTCATGATTACCTAATAGAAATAGTATATATATATATATACAGTATATTATATTTTTTATAATCAAAGTTCAACAACAAAAAAAACAATTCAAATTAAAACACAAACAAAATAACTTTGAATTTTTTTTTAGTTTATATATCACATGATTTTAGATATAATATTTCAATTTTTTTTAAATAATAATAATTATAATATTTTTTTCAAATAAATGGATAATAATAATAATAATTATTGTGAACAACTATTAATCATTAATAATAATAATAATAATAATAATATTACCATTAATAATATGATTGGTGGCCATCATCATCATCATCATCAGTACCATCATCAACAACATCAGGGACTGGTAGGTGGAAACAACACCAACACCACCACCGATAACAACAACAACAACAACAACATGTCCTATGAGTATCTGAAACAACTGATCAAACAGGAGATTGAACGCCGAGAACAACAGGAACTGGCGTTTCAAAAGTGTTTGGTCTACAAGACTGGTRTTACCATCAAAACGGACGACCAGTTGTTAGTATCATCGGACGATCCGTCGATTAAAAAGTTTAAGCAAAGATTTTGAATAATAAAAAATCTAAAGTTTATTAATAATAATCAAACAAAAAATATATATAAATATATTAAATATTATCTAAAAAAAATGTTTAATAATATTATTAAATACTTAAAACTAAAAAAGTTTTTTTTTAAAAATAATTTTATTTTATTAAATATAAAATATATTGTAATAATTATTATTTAATTTTTTTTTATTTTGTTTGAAATACAATTAGAGCTTAATTTGTTTTTTTTTTTTTGGTGATTTTTAATAACATTTATTTATAATATATAATATGATTTAATTATACAAATAATTTTAACCAAATAAAATATATTAAAATTAATTACTAAAAAAACAAACAATATTGTTTTTTTTAAAAAAAATATATATATTGATATTGTAATATATGATATAATTTACTTAAAAAATAATTAAATTATTATAAATTATATTTAAAAATAAAATATTATGATTTTTTTTACAGATATATAGTAAATATACAATAATTTAGTATTTAATAAATTTGCTAAAAATAAAYAATAATACTAATAATTATTATAATTAATTATTATTATTGATAAGTTTTGTGTTTGTGTAATAATTATAATGATATACTATATATAAAAAATTTTTAATATTATATTTAAACTAATGTCATGATATATTGATTTTATTGTTATATTATACTGTATATTGATATATACTCTATGTCTTAATACTTAAAAATTACTTAAGTTTTTAAAATTTTCATATTAGATATTTATTTCTATTTTAAAAAAAAAAATAAATATCAATATATACTGTATATATATTTAATTTTTAATAATTTTTAATATTATATTTATATATATATATATATAAATTATAGATAAGCTTATGTATGTCATGTTTTTAATGTAAAAGTCATACAGGACAGTCATAATAATAATAATAATATTATTAATATTTTTTTATTATGAATGTTTTTTTACAGTCCACTAACTACCTGTCCACTCAAAAATATTTAAAAAAAACAATTTTATGAAAAAATAATTAAATACTGTATTATCCAATACATTATACATATATTGTACAATATACAGGTATATATATATATATATATGCTTACTATATATATATACCCGACACACCCACCCATCCCSACACACACACACCCGACTAAATATTGATGACATCTTTATTATTATTGACACTATATTTGTTAGGACTGTCCGATTGGTGATCGGCCGGTGATTTGGTCTTCAAAAATATACGTTGCATTTCATCCACACTTTTGCCTTTAGTTTCGGGTACAAACATGACAACAAACACTATACTGGCCGCCGATATGCCGGCAAACAGCCAGAAAGCACCGTATCGTTGCATCGCCTCCTGTATGGCGTCAAACTGTTTGGTCACAATGAATGCGCACAACCAGTTGAATGCCGTACCGCATGCACTGACCGGTCCCATAGCATAACTCGGGGTAATCTCGGCAACAATCATCCACGGTATCGGTCCGTAACCGATATTAAAGGATACGACAAAAAATATCAGACATACTATCGGTAGCCAACTCAGCGATTTATTATCGCTATAGTAATAGTAGCCCATTATGGCCAACGTAACCGTATGGCCGGCACCCGATGCCAGTAGTAGTACCCGACGGCCCAGGCGATCGATAATCAAAGCGCCGCCTATGACGGCTGCGACCATCGATGCATTGACAATACAGGTGCTGACCATCGGATCCATTGCCGAACCGGCATCTTTGAAAATGTCGTTCAGGTAGAATAGGACGGCATTGATACCCGAAAATTGTTGGAAAAACATTAGAAAATTACATATAATAAATGGCATATAAATATCCGGGCGTTTTAGTTGGCCAATTGAAAAGCTACCCGACTGTCCGGCCTTATCGGCCATATCTTCCAGTTCTTTTAGTTCGGTATCGATATCGCTGTCCGCCGATCGTAGTCGCCTCAAGGCGTCGGCTACTTGCGAACCGTGGCGGCCATGTTTGACCATTAGCCAGTTAGGCGAATCGGGCATAAATATCATACCGATAGACATCAATACCGACGGTATTAGACCGATAATGGCCAGCCATCGCCAGCTGACTGCCAGTCCAAGTAAACTCATATACAGTATACCGATGTTAACGAATGCCTGAATTAAAAAAAAAATAATAATATTTTATATATATATATATATATAAAAAATTAATTATTGATTGAATTTTTTGTTGGTGTTGTTGTCTAACCTGAAACCCGGTGCCCAATAGGCCACGTATTTTTGGTGTCGATATGTGTACACAGTAGGTAGGTGCCACACCTAGTAATTAATATACATACATATATATATATTTATTTATGTTAATTTTAACAAAAATTATATAATAATAATAATAGAGTAACAAATTAATTGCTTATAATATATATATATATATATATTTAAATGATCATAAATATTATTATTATTATTACATTAATATTATTTAATAGTATATGTAATATATGTTTTTTTTAATTGTTAATATTTTATTTATATTTATTATTTATATTATTATTTAAAATATATTTCTGTATATATTCCTCAAAAAATGTTTACTAAAATAAATAAATAAACTAAAAAAATAAATAAAAAATATGATTTATACGCGTGTTTTTTAATATAATAATTAAAATTACTGAATAATAAACAATAATAATAATAAAACAACAAAAAACTGATATAAACATACATTAATAATAAGTAAAAATAATTATATAATTTTTTTAATTAAATAATAAATTATAATTAAAAATAAATAATAAAAATATGTATATAATTACCGCAAGATATTCCCGCAGCAAAACCAGTCAATACTCTGCCGATTATTATTAGAGCAAAACCTTTTGCAGCGCTGAATAAATTATAATAAAAATTAAAAAAATAAAATAAAATATCAATTTATTAATACATTTATAAATAAATAATATATATATTTTGTTGTTGTTATTGTAGTTATATAAACAACAAATTGTTTATTAAGAAAATTATTATTTTAAATAAATATAATAAAAAACAATATTTATTATGATTTTTATTTAAATATTTTCTATGAGTATATGATTACTATGAGATACACACACACATACATACATACATACACACACATACACATATACACACACACACAAACATACATACATACATACATACATATACATACATACATACATACACACACATACACACACACACACACACATTGTTTTGCATAATAAACACTTATTAAACTTATAAAAAAAATAATTAAACTAGCACAATTACCATATAAGCACCCAGCCAACAATAAATGGTGCACCCAGTCCTATTATTACTTTTTTAACGCCCAACCATTGTAATAATGGACCTAGATAACGATATAAATCAAACAAGCAAAAAAATGGGCACATAATTAAAATAAACAGTCAATAAAACAATGTATATATAAAAAGTTTTAAAACTTTTTTTCATCAGTAAACAAAAATCCAGTTTACCTCCCAGTAGTCCGCCTACCAGTGCGCCCAATGTCATGGATGAGCCGATCCATGTTTTAGTATCAAGATTTTCATCGGTTAATTGCGGTTCACTGCCCGACTTGGACAGTGATGGTAGTCCCGGTGCACTCCAACCTAATTAGAGATAATTGTCCAAATTATTACAACTATTACTACTACTACTACTAAAAGAGGACATACCTAACGTAGCGCCCATAGACATTGCCGACATAAGTGCCGTAATAGCGGCCAACCATACCCATAGTGACGGTGCCCGGCGTTGATTATTATTGTCGTTAGTGGACATACTTTAAAGTTATTATTATTATTTAACTACTAGTGTTGTTGGTTTCAGCAGCACAGGTAGACTTTTATTTTGTAGGTATTTTTTGTTGCACTAAATACTTACTGTACTATAATTTATGGTAAATTGAAGTCTAATATAAGTTTACTATAAGTGTGTAAAATGAAAAATATGTGATAAATAATTATTAATCATAGATTCAATACAACATAAGTGTTAGTTATTATTAATTATTAACTTTTATTATTAATTGTTCAAAAATAAACTGTTTTTAAAAAAAAAAAAATTATGTAAACTATATTACATAATAATAAAAAATGAAATTGATAATTTTTTACTTAACAAATAACATATATATATATATGTACTTAAAAATTTTTTTTAGATAATATTTTTTAGTTAATTGAATTGATTAATTTAGTTATTATTATTATTATTATGTAATTATAGTAGACACAAAAAACTTATTATTAAAAATAATATTATAACGATTATATATATATATATTTATATATATGAGATATGAAAAAAATGTTAAACATTTAACTCTACTATAAAGTATATTAAAAATATTTTTTTGATATTATAAATATTTTTGTTATAACCTTTATTTAAAAAAAAATAAAATAATTATTATTTTACTACTGTTATATTGTTAAATGATATATATATCTATATATATATAATATATAAATATTTTGTTATTCAAATAATACTTTTGATATAATTGTTTTTAATTTATAAAATAAAAATTATTTTTCCAAAAATAATAATAATATTATTATTATTATAGAATAAAAATAAAATTCCAAACAAATAAACAAAACAAAAAATACTAAAAATATTTTACGAAAATTTTAAATACAATTATTATTTATTTAGTTTTATATGTAGTAAATACTTGTTTTTATAAAATATAAATAACAAAACAAAAATAACATTGAACATTTTTGCTAAAAATAGTTTTTTAACAAAAATCAATTTAATTTATATATATATATAGATTTATGATTTATTAAAAATAAAATGGTGAATTAAAAATATCAAATAAATTTTGATTAATATAAAATTTAATTTAATTTTTTTTTAGAAAAAAATAACTTAATAATTAAATTAACTAAATATATAAGTTTAGCTAAAAAATTCAAAATACATAAACTATTTACAGTTTGTAATAACTAATAGTTAATTAAAATTAATTTATTTCAAAATAATAAATTAGTGATAATTATTTTAATTAAATAATATTTAAAATAATATCATATATTAATATTAAAAGTTTTAAAACTAATATACTATGATTATCTACACTGTATTAATCTAATTATAAATAAATATTAAATTTTATATTTAAAAAAAAAATAATGTTATTATTTAAATAAACTCAGTCTATATATATATACATCAATCAATATATTAAATTAATTATAAAAAATATTAAAACTTACTTATAATAACTGTAATTAATTTATTATTATTAAAATCTAACAAAATATTAACACATTATTTCATTGATTATCAACAAAAAAAATAATGAAACATATATTAATAAATTATATGAAACATAAACACATTATAATAAATATAATGTAAATTATTATTATTATTATTATTATTATTAAAATAACATAATATTATTAGTTAACAAAAAATATAGAGTAACAAAATGATAATAATAATAATAATAATATTACACAAATATTATTCAAATATTTACAAAATGTATTAAATAATTTTAAATTTATTATTATTATTATTATTAACAAAATGTCTAAATTCAATAACTAGATTAACTTATATGTAAAATAACATTATTATTATTATTAAGAAAACATTATTAAATTTGTGTATACTTTAATAATAATAATAATAATAAAAATAATAAAAACTGGTTAATTGAAAAATTAGAGTAGCCTTTATAATATTGTTTTATTTTTGGTTAAATATATTAAATTTATTAAATAAAAACAAATTTTAAATAACATGTAAAACAAGTATTATATATATATATATGTATTTAAATTTTGTTTTTGTTTTTTTCTGTATAAAAACTGAAAGTTATTATTGATTTATTAAACAGCACTGGTATTTAAAAATAATTTTTTAAAAAGTTTTAATAACTTTTTTTCAATAGTAAACCTTGTAAATGAAATTTATTATTAATTTACTTATTATTATTATTTTTTAAAAGTTTTTGTGACAATTTTAATATACTATCAAAAAAAACAACAATATTAATAATAATAATAAATTACAAACAATTTTAATAAGTATGTAATTATCAAATAAATTAAATTTATAGATTTTTAAATAAGTGGTTTAATTTAACTAAATAAAAAAAATTTAAATTTTTTTTTAATTATTGCTTTCATTGATATTATAATATAAAATTCTCACTAATTATATTGTAATATGTTTTGTAAATATATATATATAAACTAAAATTAAATATTTAATAACTAAATGTTTTTTTTTAAAAAAACATAAATCAATTTACAATAAATATACTTATGTTAGATAATGTATACAACTATATAAAATCATTGTCAACTTCAAATATAATAATAATTATGATTATTTATTAAATAAATAATTTATTTATTATGTGATATTTGATTAAACAAATTTTTTATGTGTTGTACTGTATCTATCAAATTAACACTAAAAAAACAATGATAATAAAAAATACAATATATATATATATATATATATATATATATATATATATATATATATATATATATATATATATATATATATATATATACTGTACAAGTAGTTAATAATTTAACATTGGTTTTCAATAAAAAAAATTATTAATATATATATATATATATATTTATAAATCTATACAAAACTGATAGATATTTAAGTGTTTTATATATATATATATATATGTGTTATCTATTTTGTGTTCAAAAATATTTTTATTTTTTTTTGATATATTAATTATTTATTATTTATCACGTCTATCATATCAAAGTTAGATATATTAAAACTATTATGTATTTTATAAACTAATTTAATAAAATTATTATTTGTAAAATCTGGGATATCTCTGACATTCAACTTTATATATATATATATATATTTAAAAATTATATCTTAATTTATATGTATTTTTTGTGTTGAAAAAATAAAATAAATAATCATCAATTTTATTATTATTATTATTTTAAATTAAAATTTATGACCTAATAATATATATATATATAATTATGATTATTACAAATAATTTTATTTTTGCTATTTATACATATAAATTGATAAATAAAGCAAATTTTGTGTAAAAATTATTTTTAAAATTATTTTTTAACTCACCTTTAATTTTAATCAGTTGTGATATATAAATATCAAATAATATAATAATTTTTTTGGTTAAAATACTTTAGTTTTTATAGTAAATGTTTTTTTTAATTATTATTAAAAAGCTGTTTAAATAATTGTTACAATACTTTACATGATTAGTAAATAACAAATTTTCAATAAAAAGAAATAATATAATATTTATTTATTTTTGTAATTTTATAGTCGATTTTTTTAGCACTGATTTTATTTAAAAATTAATTTAATTTTATTGACTTTTTAAAAAAAACTAAAATATAATTATTTGTTCAAAAAAAAGTTTTGATACATTTATATATAATGTTTTTTTATCAATTAATAGTTTGTTTTATATATTGATAAGTTTTTTAAGCACTTTACGCCTATTTTGTTGTATAAATTGAATCAATTAATTAATCAAATAAAATAATAATAATAATTAGATAACTAATAATCAATAATATATTATATATTAGCGGTACTCTAAGGTAGCTAATAATTATTTAACAATTAGTTATAAAATTGACATTGATAATTTTTTTTTTTAAATTTTTTTATTAAGTACAATTTTATTAGTTCAATACCATCAAGTAAATATTGGTAAAATAATTGTTGGTAAATTATATCTAATATTTTATAAGTAACTTTCAATTTAATAAATAAAAAACAAGTTTATTAATAAAAATAAAATCTATTTTTTAAAAAAAAAACAAAAAATTATTGTTAATATAATACAATATTATTATTTTTTTTAAAAATATGTTTGTTAAATTTGATAAAATACTTATTATCTTTATTATGTTTTTTAAAAAAATATTATGTTATTAACTAATTATATTTTAATTGTTTTTTTTATACAATAAATATATAAATTTATTTATTGATAAATATTTATATTTTTTAAAAAATAAACTATTAATTTTATTATTTAACTTTTATGATTTATAAATTTACTATTTATAAATACAATTTTAGTTAATTATTTTTATTAATAAAATTAGTAGTGATAAATGCATACAACAAGTGTGTATAAATATAATGGGTATAATAAGTATGATGATGTAATACATCATCAAAAAAAAAAATTTCGACATTTTTTGATTGCACGTGAAATGCGTGCAAATAGTTTAGATAAAACTTCATCAAAATCTGTTAAAAAAAATTAGTCACAAAATTTTATTTAAGTTTTTTATATAATAATATACAGTATAATCATAATTAGTTGTCAATTTTATCATCTGTGACGGCAAACTAACAAAACAGCAAAAAAATAATAAAACAAATTAAATAAATTTTTTTTTTAATAATGTCTCAAAAGTTAAGTGGTTTTTTTGAACACACACACACTTATAAATAATGTACACATATATATATATATACACACTTATACATACACACACACACACACAATTATACATACATATACACACACACTTATACATACATACATATATATATATATACACACACACACACACACTTATACATACATACACACACAATTATACATACATAGACACACACACACACACACACACACACACACACACACACTTATACATATATATATATATATATATATATATATATATACACTTATACATACATACACACACATAAACATACACATACACATACACACAGACACACAGACACACACAAA